TTCTTAATCTAAGAATAGAAAAGGTAATGTACAAAGACGTAATTTCCTGAGAACTTCGGTAAAGTTGGAACACTTGTGCCAAAACCTACTCTCATTCTTGCATAAAATTTTCTACTTCTGGATCCCATTTCTTTTCTCCCCTCTTCTAACATCTGAGCACAGTTCGTTTTAATTTCCATTAAACACTTTAATGTTACTTTTTAGTCTTTTCGAAAAAAGATACTGCTATTAAGCTAAAAAGAAAAAGGAATAGTAAACCAAATAGTCAGAAAGAACGTTATATCCATGATATTAAAATCTTGCGAATTAATCGTTAACATGTGGTTTTGAGTTAAGAAAAAAATGCCGATATATCAAAAAAAATTCATGATGCAGGAAACAGTAATAACAGATGTTTTAATATCGCTTATTTAGATTATTTCATAGTCATACTTCAAGTCCGGAATACGATTTGTAAATAATTCCTAAAAGAGTAAGGAAAGACAACGGCAATTAAATTTTCACGGGTAAGAATAGTTCAAATCAAAAAAATAATTGGAGTAAGAATAGTTCAAATTTTAGAAATCAAAAAGAAACGCATCAGCAGCTTACCTTCCACGGAGTCTCCTCGACTTGTTGCTTCTAATAAAGCTACTTCTGGACTGAACTTCAAACGCTGATGACGGGGAAGTGTTGGTGTCATCTGTTTTTCACGTTCATCCCAATTTCTTAGTTGTATCCTTCGTCGTTCACTGAAAATATTAAGAGGAAAATTATAATTTAAAAATAAAATTCCAAATGTCGAATAGTAGAATATAGAATACGTAGAATCTGTAAATACGAAATATTGGGAGATTCAATCCTAGATCCATTCAGAAACTTGAAAATAAATAAGGAAAATAATCCAATTTACAGTCATCTCACATTCATTCACATTCTAGTAAATGAAAGTTTATGTAATATGTCACGATAAAGATCATGAGAAGTAGATTAACATATAAAGATTCTGCCTGGACAAAGCGATCCGTTCAGCCGATGTCATTTTTTTCGATTTCGCTTAGCTCTGTCACCAAATCTGCGTGATTCATCTTCCTCACTTTTTACCTATTACTTGAAAATTCTCAAACAATTGAAATTCAAACTTGAAAAATTACCGAAATTTATCCCTTTTAATATACTCATCAATTGTTAGATGTAGGAGAAAAAAACATATCCAATACTTACTTACGAGAATATTGTCGCCGATTTTCTCAATCACAAATCTTAAACTTAGATAATTAAACTTTTATTCCTATGAGTTTGTTAATACAAAAACGAATTCAACAATCAAAATATCAATGCGACAAATAGCTATAGACTATAAACCAAATGAAGCCTCAATATCCTCGATTCAACCGATTTGTTTGAGATATATCTTTACAAAATGATTTGACGCTTAGGACCTTCTTCTTCCTGAAGTACAGAAATCTCGGGCAAAACTCTGAGGTTAGATCTATGATCACAATTATCATCTTTAATAAAGTATATAGGTACAATGGATCTCAATGGGCTTTGAAGAAAAAGTTAACAATAATGTGTAAATTAGATAGGAGCAATAAAATTGTTCATATTTATTGATTCAAAAAAAAAAAAAATGCAAATTAGGTACACAAATTTAAAAAAAAAATACAAATTTCATCCATCCAACTATGTTTATTGTTCAATATTAGCATATCAAATAATATATAATTGATGATTTAATTTTAATTGGTTGTTAAACTTATCAAATAGTAATATTTTTATCAGTTCTAATTAAAATTATTATACAATTCATAATATGCTTCTTACTACTGTTAAAATATCTCTTTCTTTTCATTTATTGAAAAATATTTGTTAAATAAATAATAGTTAAATGTGAAATAAATAAAAGTTAAATTTTATTGTAATTTTCACTTCTTTCACATTAAATTCTTTTTTTTTTCTTTCGTTACTAATAGATACGAAAATAATTACATTAAATGAATAATTCAAATTTGGAAAAGATTTGTATTTTGTTGTAAAAAAAAAAAAAACTTCAAATGAAACATTTTTAAAACTTCTTAAGCTTTTCGTTCCGAATAATGAATAAATTATTGGACAAATTCAGATTTGCATATAATTAATGAAAATATATATCAACGGATTTTGCAAATTTTAATGGTGAAAAAAAAATACTGCTATAATAAGTGAGAAAGTAAGGAAGTAAAGTAAGAAAGTGAGGAAGTAAAGTAAGAAAGTAAGAAAGTAAAGTAGGAAAAGTAAAAAAGTAAGGAAGAAAGGAAGTAAGGTAAGAAAGTAATTAATAGCCTAAGCTATATTAGCATTGAAGCCAAACATCAATAATTGCTCAAATTTTTTTGATCAGTCAAAAAGACATTTATGTTATGAAATTTTGAAAAGAATTACAGATATATATATTTAAATTGTTAATTAAAAAATTAAAAATTTGTCTTTGTAATATTGTTTGTTTGTAATTCTATTTATATTTCATTAATGTTTTTTTTTTAAAAAAAAGAAACTTTTAAAATTAATTAAAACACACAAGAATTTATGCAAAAAAAAAGCAATACCATGAATTAAAAATGAAATAGAAAATCATCAAAATTACGAATTTTGATGCATTAATTATTTTTGTTTTTTTTTTAAAATACAAACTTTGTCTATTCTTTTCTTCCAATCATCACTATTAAATGACAATTTTATTAAAAAAAAAACTTTACAACTGATATAATGGTCACTTCACAAACACTTTCAGACTGAACATTTGTCAATATTGTCAACAAATTTATTTATTTATTTTTTTTTTTGTCGAAAGAATAAGAAAAGACGAGAAGATGAAAAACTTCGAAGAACGATAATTTAACAAATTTTATTAAAGTGTTATTGGGAAATTCAATTCAATCACTATTAAATTAATGTTATAACACATCATTTATGTGATTTTTATTCAAATTTAAGCGAAATTAGCAAAATTTACATTTCAGAGAGATATATGAAATATTTTCAAATAGTATTTATAGAATTCTGTGACAAAAATTTATGATTTTAAATAGGTTTTTATTATTGTCACAATGCGTCACAACGACTTAATTATCACTTTTGTGGAAATTGTTAAACGGAAAGTTATTGAGTGTTGGAAATTTTTTGAAATTTGAAACTTGTCCCCCTTTCCATGCCATGCATTT